AAACACAAAACTTCATTTCATTTTGCCCAGAATAATCTCAGAGAGGGTTAAAGCATGAATGTGACTCTAGGATGTAGTGAATTGTTAAAGCTCCAGTGTACCTGGTATGTGACTCCCTGTGTCTCTGCTCTGGTCGGTCTGAGGCTGGTGAACTCTGCAGGTGACCCTGTGACAAACACAGAGTCGTAGTTTAGTTTAGTTTAGGTCAGTGGACGTGAAGGTGTTGCGAGTGGGCCGACAAATCATTTACAAAACAGTACAATTTTGGTAAAATACAAAATGTAATTATAAAAAGAAAAATATAAATAATGCTTTTTGAATATTTTCAAATGAAATGATCTTTAATAAAATGTTTTTGTTTTTTTTTGTTTCTCATACCACCACCTGAAAACATAACCTCCTTGTCTCAGGTAAATGAAAAAAGAAAAGTCGTAGGTAAAATCAAACCTCTTGGTATCGATCGGCAGAGTCACTTTTCGTATCTGGAAACATCTCCCGGAATCTTGGTCTCTCTTTTGGTTTTCGGCATCGATGTAGTTTCCCTTATTATCAAGAAACGTAATCTCGGGATCCGGCGACCAGCAGCTCGACTCACACTGCAGAGTCACTCCATCACCTACACCTTCAACCACCGAGGGTCCCTCAGAAGCGGCACCTATAAAAACAAGGATTACACAAGGTAAGACCTTTTGAACTTTCCATCCAGCTTTTCTGTTGAAATCTAAACAAATCCGTTCTTTTAAACCATATTAAATCATATTATCAATGTTGACAATACTTCAATGTCCGACGTACCCACAAGGAGCTCCACTGTTGTGACGACCTTCTGGTTCTTCCCCTGGAGAGTCTTGCATTTGTACGTTCCTGTATCGGAGAGCTGCAAGTCGGAAATCCTCAGGGAGATGTTTCCGTTCTTCACTTCGTTCATGAAGAGGTTTGTCCTGTACTGGAAGACGGGATTCTTCATCTCGAACGTCTCACAGCCTTGGCGGTACAGGAAGGCGATGTCCAGAGTAGGACCTTCCTTGGTCCACTCCACTGTTGGGATGTCACCGCGGACAGGGATGTGGCAGGGCAGGATGACAGTGTCGCCAGCGTAGGCCCGGATCCTGACGGGCACATTGTCTGAGGTTTCTCCTAAGGAAAACAAAACATGGTGGTACTGGTAGAAAATTTAAACTTTTCTTATTGTCAAATCCCATGAAAAGATGAAACCATTGATGAATTATCTCCTACTAACAAGTATAACTTGTGTAGCCTTGCTTTCTTATTCTTCTGTTCTGCATTGCATGTTGTGGTTTACTTTGACTTAATCCCACTCACACACTGCTGTTAATAGTAACTATAGTACCAACTGCGTATTAATCCCTATTTATTGTGAAAATAGTCGTGAACAAATGCACCATTTCCTCCTGTTTGAGCAACATTTGCTGAAAACTACAGCACCCAGCTGCCGTTTTCTCTTTTTTTTTTAGCTGTCTTAAAGGTCAAAGTCTTCAGTAGGAACCAGTGGCTTGGGGCAGAGAGACAGACAGGATAGGGAAGTCAGAAAGTATTGAGAGACAGACATGACAAGTTGTTGAATTGGGTGTCTTCATGGAATTTTTTTAACAATAACGAAGCCAATAACGAGCCACGAACCAAACAGCTGTATTTCAAAGGCTTCAAAGCTAATCCATATTCAATTTTTCTTTAATTAATAATGGAACAAATTGTAACATGAATGTGTAACCCAGGTAGACTTCACCCCACTAGCTTTTCAGTGTCTGTCAGCTCAATGTTTTGTGAATGAAGGCCTTCAGCTTTAATGGTCCAGCCTCACTGCTCTAAGATCCCACTGTATGCAAACTGCCCAGTAACAGAACAATCAGAGAAGCTGAGAAGCCTGGTGTTGTGTTTACAGCTTGTTTGCTCTGCCCCCTAGTGGCCAAAATCTAATTAGTTAAGACAGGTTTAACATTGACAGTCAAAACAGAGCCAACATCCCATTGACGTCTACACTGTGGCCATATAAGGTTTGCAGCTCATGAGTGTCTGGCTGTTGCAGAAGTTGGATGAACCAGTTACAGTTATGAAACTATTTGAGTTGCACTAGCAGCAGGACTAGGGAAGACTGAAGTAGTTCAATAACTATTGAAAGGACTGCCATGACTTTTTTTTGTTTGTTTTCATTACAGACATTCATGATCCCCACAGGATGAAACCTAATGACACCATCAAGTCACAATTATTAATTCAACCAATGCTTTGGTTTAAGACCTGCAAAACTATTGGCATTCCCATCCGCCTCAGCTGTCTTTTGGGTTTAGTGCTAATATTAGCATGCTAAAACCCCACTGTGTGAACCACTGTAAACATTATAGAAGCATTTTAACACAAGGCAACTTTGAGCTAAGTGGTGCACCAGCGTGCTAACATGCACAACAACAGAGCACAGCTTCAGACAGCTGGAAACGTTTGACTGGTACTGTAATTTAAAACATTAAGCAACACATGTATGGAGGACTGAAACTGCCAAAATCAAAAATAAATCAATAAAGAAATTAATATGCTGTTAAAAGCACCAAAAACAGGCGTTAAGTAATAAAATGTGACATAACCTGACATTTCTGTTTTAATTTGCATCTGTATTAATTTACCTTTGTATTAATTCCCCTAATTATTTATTTCCCCATTTAAATGTTAATTTATTTATCTACTTTTGACTTTGGCACACACACATCTTATCATCAATCTCGTGTCAAAGTACTTTATAACTTGTTTTCAACTATCATTACTAATTTGTAACAGCAAAGAGAAAACTGCAGTGCAATCTCCACCAACACAAACACACAAAAGAAAAAAGAAGAAATAGTTTCCCTTCTCTTATCCAAATCCAAATAACTCCCCACATGAGCTAGACAGTACCACAGCCCCTCAGCACATGAGCTAGACAGTACCACAGGGTGTTTGTGCAGTGACTCAGGCATTTCTTTTGGCTCGGGAACCCGGGAACTCCCAAATACATGCAATGATAGTCTTAAAAATGTCATTTCCAGCATGTGAAGCTGTGCACCGCTGATCAGCTGACAGCAGGTCCTCGTTCTGTAAAAGCCAAGTATGCAGTAATTGTGAAATCCCAGTTTTGTGCAATGATTTCGTTGATGTTGCATCAGCTGTTCGACAATGGCTTGAGAAGATGCACTTAATACATACAGTATGTGTATTTGTCATCTTTTATATCCTCTTAATAAAAACTAGAATCACAGTTGAATAAGTTTGTGAAGATTCTCAGTCATGCAGGGAAATGTTGCACTATTTACACATTTACATTTACATTAACAGATATCATTTCTAGTTAATAGTTTACATGCAAAAAATCCAATCCATTGTCATAAATAAAACAAAAGGAGCTGTTAAAATTAGCTTCACCTCATCCATTCCAAAGCTGCTTTACACATTCATTTGTCAGCAATAATAAGCTAGTGACACATAACACTCACACATTTCTGCATAATGAGTTTTAATTTTTGATTCTGTAAGGCTGCTATTAACATTATCAATAAATCTGCCCATTGTTTTGTCAATTAATCATTTAGTTCAGGGAGAAAATGGCACTGAGTTACTCAGAGGTCACAGTAATGTCTCTGACTAATCAACTGAAACAAAGATATTCAGATAAATAGCTAATTGTCACTGCAGCCAGAGAATATTTGGTATTTTTGCTTGACAAATGACTTAATGTGAATCAGATTACATCAAGATTTTGAAGGCAGGACTTTGATTTATGCAGCATTTTTACATTTTACAGTTTAACTGAAACCATTAAGATTTTATTAATGGACTGCACCAACATTTATAATATTAAAGTTAAACATCAACTCAAGGAATTTTTCTACAACCTGGCAACCCAAACACTGTTGTTACTGACAAAAGAACAATATTAGTAATAGTAGAAGTAGTAGTAGTAGTAGTAGTAGTAGTAGTGCGAATGGTAAGAGTCAGATTGTTACTGTAGCATTCAGAAAATCAGTAGTAGCACTTGTAAGCATGTGCTATTAATAGCTACTGTTACTAAGACAGTCAGTAAACTTGCACAACCGCTTCCTGCTCATGAACTTCCAATGAGAAGTTCCAATGATAAGTTCATGAGCAGAGTGTATGGAGAAAAAAAAAAACACTGATGAAGCTTCAATAGCACATTTAAAACTGGTGCATTAGCTGCAGTAATCCTCCATAAGGCTCCCTATAATATGTGTAGAGTGGCCCCTCTTTATTCAGATGACCAGATGCCATAGGTATTTGCTCTCTGTGCAATGCTGCTGTGCTTTTATAGTTTTATACAAAATCGTGGATTCCACACTTTTAAAAATGCACTTATATGCTCTTAATTATGTTTGTGACTTCATTTGATTCTGATCATTTATTCTCACTGTAAAGTACAACAGAGGGGGGGGGGGGGGGGGGGAGGCCTTAATGTCGTAGTTAGAGGCTCATCATGAGATCAGGATTTCCCACTGTGATGAGCTTTTTTTTTTTTTTACACCAAGATTCCTCCGATCGTTTTCTCGTAATTCTGAGGAGAACTACATGTCACAACAACAACGGGTTCATAAGGGAGCGCTGCAGAACTCGCCTGACAGCAACATAGTCATCCAGTGAATCACGCCAGCAGCTACAGAGCGAAAAGGGACTGCTCATAGATAAGTCGACGAAATTTGCATTTGCTGTTTTCAGATTTCAGATTAATCTCGTTGCTTATTTCCTATGAGAATGTGATATATTCTCGTGGTGAAATAAACTGCATCAATACTTTAAAAACAAATAGCCAACAATATATATTTTTTTTAATTCATAATTTGTCTGTGCACTTTATTCTCTTTAAATCTTCTTGCGTCACCTCTAATAGAAACCACACACATTGGTGTAGACCTGCATCTGCAGACTCATGGCAGACACCACCACATCCATGGGAAAAGGCGCAGGAAGTTTCTTGTAGTTTCAGTGTCGTACAAACAGCCAGAAACAAACAAACACATGCACTTCTGCATTTGTTTTGCCATCGTTTATAGCATACATTTACACGTAGTCGCTTCTCGCTTCCTTGACTGTAAGACGATTTAATGGTAGTTTTGCCTTTCAATTCACGCTAAAAGCACAGATCTCCTACCGCCTGAAAATTAGGCGCAGTTTACGGTTTTCACACCGGCGGAAATAAAATCGAATTAAAAAGGGAAACGCGCCCGAGTCGGTTTTAACCAAACCAAACAAACAGGTAGAAGTGAACTTGCCCTTAAAACACTTTACAATGAGATTATATATATATATGTAATCCACGGTAACGAAATAATACGTACCGGCACAAGATGACAGGAGAGCGGCCACCAGGAAAACGACGCCGCGCGAGGAACAAACGGACAAACCCGATGTGAGGAAAAGATTAAAGTGCATGTCTGGAAGTCTGAAGACTGCGGCCATGACTCCCTGAGCACAGACACATCTGGATCAGACCGGACACCTCGTCCACCGGTCCTCAGTGGGGGTTTCAAAGAGATATGACGAGAATGACGTGTTAATGTGATGCGTTCAAGATAACCGGGGCTTTTAAGCGCTCCAGTAATAAAAACAAAAAAACAAAAACACCACCCCTCCGATACAACCCACGTGACTGTCTGCTGAAACAGGCTACTGCCCGTACGACGGCAGGCGTACCTGTGGTTGGTTGTCATGGTTACGGTAATGAACACGTACAAACAGCGGCGAATCCGATCTGACAAAAACATTTAAAGGTCACTCCAGTTCTATAGGGTTTTATCCTAGGTTATATAAAATAGGCTACTGTAGGATATAGGCTATGGGACTTTATACAATATAATAATAATAATAATATGATATATAAGATTTTAGGATTTTATCTTATAAGATTTTGTCTTAAAGTAACCTATTGGTTCCAAAATCAAATGGATTTTTTAAACTGGAATTTTCTTTGAGAATCGTACAGGACGTCTTGACAAAGGTGAAACCTGAACACACAGACACCATTAGAAAATAAACCTCCAAAAATCTGCTTACCAAGATATAAACAAACATGGGCTAAAACCAAAACGGGACTCAAGTTGAAGCTCACGCGCAGCTTAATTTACTGTATCCATGGCGACATATACACAAGGGGGCGCTCTTTGTCTGTATTGTGTGAGTGAGCAGGCACATGAAACATAACATTTAAATCAAAATATGAAAAAAAAGTCATTTTCTAAAATTCACTATTGACATGATTAATTCATTTTTAAGGGAAAGTATTTATTCTTTATCAAAATGACATGTAGGCCTATAATCTGAGGCACCGCGGGGGTATGACAGAGACTGGGCCTTTCTCTCAGTTACTCAGAGACTATTGGGACTAGACCAACTAAACTTTTATATATTAAACTTACATGTGTCTGCTAATTACCCACATTTAAAGATGATTAAATATGACATATCATTCACAATATTTATTTGAATCGTAGATGATGCAACTGTCCCCAGGGTTAGGGTCACTTACGGATCAGGGACGATCGCAGCATATTAAAAATACATTCAACTTCACCAATTAACTGTTTGCTTTTTGGCTCAATAAGCGTAATGTCCTGAAAATATGCATTGTTTGACAATAATATTCTAGTATCATTTATTTATCAAAGAACAGTTGTGGGACATTTTTTGAGATGAAGGTGTGTATCTAACAGAATAACAGGCTACTTGTGTTTAATTTCTATTTTTTAAAAAGCCTCTTAATTAGAATACCTCAGAAATAACTGGGGACGCTGCAGCTGCGCACACATTTCCATCAGCTGGGGATCAAACCTGGAACTCCTCAGCAAGTAAAAGGTCTATTTAGCCACTCCTCCACCTGCACTTTAATAATGTGCTCAGTGATGTTCATGTTTGCAGCAGCATGTCCACAACATGTTGCTGTTTATCAGCTGATAAAACATGCGGCCTGCACGCATCAGCACCAGGGCGTAGCTGAGGTGTGAGACCAACGCTTCCTTTACCTCTGCCGTATTAAACCGGGTCGCTCCCTCTCTGGCCGCACTCCCCGGACACACCATGGCTCGGTCACACATGTGCTCTGTCTTCTTCGTCCTTCTCCTCACCGCCGTGCGCACATCTGGAGAATTCGTTCCTCTGGGAAGCTCCGTGAAGTTACTGCGAGATATATGCAGCTGGCACTTATTACCCAGAGTCCTCTTGGTCCTCAGAGGAATGAAGGGAGCCTAAACCAACACCAAGAGTCAGTGTGTGTGTAAATATGTAACAGTAATAAACACTTAAAAATCAATTGTGACAGTAAGTAAAGGGGGGGGGGGGGGGGGGC